CATGTTCTTCACGGAACACATACCTTTCATTTGCTTGCTCACTTTTTCCACCTGGGTTAGCCTGTGTTTTCTCTTAAACACTATTCCTCTCTCTCTCCCCTCACAGTTTTCTAAATAAATTTCATCTGAATAAAAAAATCTTGCTCTTAAAAAATGATAAGAGAAACAGTGCAGGTTCAGATGACAACTACCTAGGTTATTTCCATCAAATATCACAATATTAAGAAGATTATTAATCAAAAACAGTGAAAATATTTGCTCTTTCTACTCTTTATTTTTTGTATTTTGGCCCACATCTGGCAGTGCTCAGGTGTTAATCCTGGAGGTTCTCTTTCCAGAACAAATTCCTGAGTGCAGAGTCAAGAGTAACCCCTGAGCATCACTGGGTATGACCACAAAAGCAAAATAACAACAACGACAATAACAAATCCTGGAGATTCTCAGGGGATCATATGAGATGCCAAGGATAAACCTGGGTCAGCCATATGCAAGGCAAATGCCCTACCTTTTGTACTCTCTCTGGCCCTGCTCTTTCTACTTTTATTCGGTATTGAGCTAAAGTATATGGACAAGTGTTTCTCAAACTTTTTCCACACAATTGCCATCTTCCAATCTTGTTTTCTTCCTATTCTTCCCACCCTCCAAACCTGGGTCTATGTATTAGCCACTAATCTCTTGTCCTGGCCCAATTTTACCTGTTTCTCCTTTGGATACTGGCTCCCAGTTGAGAAATGATAAACTAAGCACTATAATAGGCCAACCTATTTAATTGATTAATGCTAGTCTGAATCCAAAGAAAGCTTTTACTAATTTTAAGTCTATGATACCACACATGTGAAGTATTTTGGTTCCCCAATTAAAAATTATTAGAATTCACATTTACCAAGGTCTCAACAGACATTACAAGCAAACAGATTCAATTATATTTCTACATGGTAGCACTGAAAAATGAAAAATTAAATTAATAATTTATAAAAATAAATTAATAACTGAATTAATAATTTATATAATATATTCGCAATAGCATAAAAAGTGTGTTGTACTGGATGTGCTTTTCTTGCCTGTGGATAACTCCAGTTTGATTTATGGAATAGCGTATGGTCTCCAGCACTGCCAGCAATGATCCCTGGGCTCAGAATCAGGAGTAAACCCTAAGAACTCCAAGAAAAATATAAATAAAGACATTCTAAAAAATAAAATCATAATCACCATGGTATGTAAGGTACCATTGCACGCACATTAGAATGGCTTGAATTGTAAAAACATAAAATATAAATTATTACAGTTGCAGGGAAACCAAAGTATTTACATGTTTCATTGTTTATAAGGATATAACCACATTGGAAAAACAGTTTGAAGGGTTCTTTAAAAGATAAACATAAATTTATTCTATGATCTAGCATATTCAAAGTCAGATCTGTGAATCTTTATAACAACATTATTCTTTATAGTCCCAAACTGGATCCATCTAAATGTCTAAATGCCCTGTGGAGTATGAACAAAGATGAACAGCATTTATTTAACAAAGCATTATAATAAATATCATTGATAAACCAGAAAATCATCATGCGAAGTAAAGGTATCCAAAATCAGACAACATACTATGTCCCCATTTATATAAAAGATTCAGAATTTCTACCACCATTATTTTGAAATTTCCCAATCACTATCCAAGCCTGTTCCAACAGCAGATCCTAAATATTTTATTTTGTATTGCTTTTTATGACTAATTCACTAAAAATGATCAAAAAATATTTCCTTAGAAGAAAGTGTGTGAAGATTATTATATCTCAGCCTGGATTCATTAAGCCCTTGTACAAAAGATTCTAACATGTTGTTACAGGTTAAGCCTTGTGCGCCAATATTTTCTTAATCGAGATTGGTTGCCTTCTACTATACATCCCATCCAATGTAATGTGCTACTCCTGGTACATCGGTGCTGTAGAGTATGAAATGTGGTTCCAGGAATTCTAAAATTTTAAATAGGGTGATACAGCTGGAGTTAAAATTTTAACTGGATGGTGACTTTGGGATCTAGAGGCAGTCTCTGCAGCTTGTTGAGCTCTCCCAAGATTTATTTGTATGGATCATGGCCAGTTAATGAGTTTATATGGCATCAGAGGTAGTTTGTGATTGCCAGGCTCCCAGGAGAATAGGGGCATGGGGGAGGTCGCCCATCCCATCTCCATGAAAGCCTCCACAAAACCCCCATATCTGATATTTTCAACATATTCATTCATGGATGAGGCTCATCTGAGCCTGTGGAGATTTGCCATCAGCATGGCAGCGATTGGGTTTAGGAGGTTTTTGGCTGCCAGGCTGTTTGGGTGGCTGGAGGATTCACTAATCCCCTCTGGGGTGCTCTGGATACGAGATTCAGTCTGGTGCGGGGTCTGGAGGCATCTCTGGAGAATAAGTTATCGAAGTTAAAAGTTTAGTAGTTTTCTAAGGCTGGGATTTAGGAGCAATTGAAAATAACACCAAGAATCTATCAGGTGGACTGGAGCAATATAGCACAGCAAGAAGGGCAATTGCCTTGCACGTAGCTGATCCAGGTTTGATCCTCGCCATTCCATATGGTCCCTGCGCCCCACCAAGAGTGGTCCCTGAACTCAAGCCTGTGCACTGTTGGATGTGGTCCAAAAACAAAAAATCAAAACAAACAAAAATATTTATCAGGATGATAGGGGCTTTGTTAAAGTTGCACTGCTTCTTAAACCTAAAAATCATTAAGTAACACACTCAAAGGAATAAATTTTGTAGTACATGTAGAAAGCCTTTCCACCCATTCTTTAACTTTTCTCTAATTCTACAGATGTTTTCTATTTATTTTAATTTTTCTATTTATGTTTAGCTCCTTTTTGATACTTCTATTTGTACTTCTTCACAATTTAAAATTTGTTTCCTTTAGAATATAGAGATACATTTTTTCTTTTAACTTTTTTTTTCACTACAGTTAGCTGCCTTTGTGTAAATTAGGTACCCTATGAAAATTTCTCTCTTTTCTCCTAGTTTGGAGAAGTAATTGACACACACAAATATTGTGAAATTCAAAACATAGAGCATGGTGGTTTGATTTGCATATATTGTGAGATGATTACCATAATAGATATAGTCCTCATATATACAAATATTTTTATTGTAGATTTCATAATGGTTTTATTTGTTTAAAGTTCAAGGCCAAAACTAAATATGGTCCTTTACTTTCCTAGTGAGAATAAGGACAGAAAGAGATCAAGCCCAGAGCTGAATGTTCTGGAATTAGAATTTCCCTCCCCAGTTAGCTGCCATTCCACCAGGCAGTAGTCTATATGACAGCTCTCAGAACTTGTGAGACCAAGGAAGGAGATGCTCTTTGTAGGTGAATGCCCAGGCCTTGAGAAGAGGAGGAGGAGGAGGAGGAGGAGGAAGAGGAGGAAGTAGAAGAGGAGGAGGTGGAATAGAAAATACTGCACCTGTTCTCATCATCTCTCAGCTGGGCTCTGTCTGTCTTGTCATCACTTGGGCAACATCTGTGCCCTGGTATGCTACTGTTGATTTTTGCTGGTGCAGAGGGACAGCAATGACAGTCCTGATAACTGATCTGCATAGTCCTGTATCTGTAATTTCTCCAGGAATATTTTTGAGTGACAACTACTAATTCTCCTGTATTTTCCTTATATTCCTTTAAGGAATTTCTCCTTTCTGCCCCTTCAAGTGCACATTCCAATTCCTTGCCAAGTTGTCTATGTTGGAATCATTTTCCCCACAGATCAATAATGGCTGGCTCCATTAATCTGATTTCACCTCTAGTGTTTCTTTTACAAAGGAATCTTTCTTTACACCACATTTCACGCAGCCGCTATTACATTATTCAGTTGTTTTTCATAGTATTTTTGTATAATTTCAATTTATTATATTGCTTATCTTCACTAACTGATGAAAGTTCTTCAGAGTCTATATTCTACTTCTCTTTTTACTATGAAAATACCGCAGTCTAATTTAATAGCTAGAGCCTAGTACTGTGTAGTGGATTATATGGAATAAAATATTAATCCTATAATAAAATAACTAAATTTTAATTTTTAATTGTGGTGTCAAGATAAAATTTCTTCCAGTTTCATTTTTACATTTTAGATAAAATTCAATTTAATTCTTTGTATTTTTAGATAATGCAAATCACAATAGTGAGTTGTCAAATAATATTTTAATCATTTAATAGTACCAAGAATTTGTAATGTGGATATAGTGTGAATTTACATATCTCAGATAAGGAAAGCAAGGTTCAAAGTTGTGAATTAAGTAGGAGATAGGCCTGAAATTCAGCACTAGTTTTCAAACACAACTTGCTTATTATAGTTTTTCTTCCTATACATTACTTAATATATTTCAAATTATTAGTGCAATGACTTGGAATCTCACCAATCATCCCTAAAAAGTGTTTTGTTTCAACTTGATTGTCAATAGATAAAACATCTAAAATAAAAAGCAATAAAGGTTGTTATTTTATGGCTCTTTAAAATACTTTGTATCTATTATTACATTCAAATCTCTATGATTCTTAAAGATTAGTTATATACATACAATTTTGAAAACGGATACACTAAAGTACATAGGGCTTAAATAATTTCCCCAATCACACCCAACTAAGTGGTGGAGTTAGAGTTCTGTTCCTAGCCATTTGGCTCTTGATCACAGTTCTAATTTATACTAGTAAGAACTTAGTTGGCTAATAGTTTACAGAGAGATTTTATACCCACATCTGCTGGATCTACCCTAACTAATACAGAATTCATTTTCTAATCCCTACTTCTAAATCCTAAAATATTCTCTATTTCTATTTATATCTTTAAAATAAGTATATTTCTTGGATTGTGCTTTGCTATGCATGATTTTATTAGCACATTATGCTCTTAATATTTTGTTTCTTAAGTGATTTTAAAGTGGAATTAAGTAGTAACCTGTCCTAAGATCGATTTCATTGCTTAATTTTAATGTTCCTTGAACACTGCTTCTTGCAGTTGAATTGTGATGACTTCAAGAAAGGAGAAAGAGATGGGGATTTTATCTGTACCTTTGATAACGCAGCTGTTTGTGGCACAAATGGGAAAACGTACAGCAATAGATGTGCACTCTGTGCCGAGAATGTGTGAGTACTCTCAAGCGTGCTTCATTCCCAAATCATGTTCTCTGTCTAATTATATAATACAATTTATTCTAGTTTTTATGATAATCAATTATGTGGGAGAGAGTTATGCATAAATTTTTCTGACTATTTTCTTAAGGAAAAAATATATACCTAGCAAAGCTTTACAATTCTACAAAAAATTTTAGACATTATTGTTTTATTAAATAGACATCTGGATACTTATAGCTATAAATACATAACTCTCTACACATATATATATAAAATCTATATAGACATATGCACGTATATGCATAATATCATTGACCTATTTTCTACCTATACATTTAGAAATAGATCTTTTTTATGGAGAACTATCTAATGATCATAATATTTTGTTAACATTTACATATTAAAATAAATCATAGGAACTATTAATATTGAACATCTTCCAAGCTGTTCAGTTTTTGTTCCATAGCTACAGCACATCTCTGTCCTATATTTTGTCCCCATTTGGTTCCTTCTCCACCCTCCTATGCAAGGTTTGGTTATCGATTGTCCTCAGCTAACAAGATGACAGACCTGCTTTTCAGGTTCTGGTTTGTGACCTCAATACTGAACTGTCTACGCTTCAAATTTTCAGACTATAGCAACCAATTTTGGGAAGCCTTTTGTAGGATCTGACAAAATACACTCTGAAACTGTGCCTTTGATCCTCACAAGCAGAAAACAAAAATAGACACAGTAAAAACACACATTAGAAAAGAATATTGCATGCTGACTTTCTATTGTGTCTTAAGTGGAGAGTCATGCAATCAGTTCTTTAACTCTAGTTCAGAGGAACTTTCTTTTCTTAATTTCTTGTCCACAAATTTTAACTTTAATAATTATTATCTTTTTTGTTTGGGGGTGCCTCAGTAGCTGTGCTCAGGGCTTAATCCTGACTCCACACTCAGGGATCACTCCTGGAGGGGCTTAGGGGACCATATGGAGTGCCAGGGATGGAACCTGAGTCAGCTTCAAACAACACAAGAGTCTTATGTACATTATAGCCTATTTTTACATAGTAGAAACCTCAGTTTGTTTCCTCATTTAGTACTGAGAAAACTACAATAATACTGAAATGTAATATTTCTATTTTACCTTCATTGATGTCTTTGAGATAATACACTTATTATTTTAGTTACTCATTTTTGCTTTATATTATTGTTATTGTTATACAGGTACTGTAATAGAAAACTTATAATTTTAGAAGGTATAGAGTGTATCTTATATTTATGGTTCTATCTTCAAATATACTTAAAACTCTTCTTGAATTAACACTTCACTAACATTTATGTAGTTACAAGTAAAAAACATTAGAATAATTCAAATGAAGGAAAGTATAATAAAGTGCTAGATGCTATAAACTTGAATTTACTTATTTGTAGCAACAACCTTTACAGCAATTAAATTCCTTGAAAGTCACTTAATATCTTACCACATTTCACTCTTTTGATATGAATTCCTTATGGAAACAGGTTGAAAATTTTCTAGAAATAATACTTAGAGTCTGAATTTTTTAGTTCTTCAACAGGATTCTATTTTTTTGTTTCAAGTTATAAATAAGACTATAATTAGAAAATGAAAACAGAAATAGAGTCCAGAGAGATAGCTAGTACAGGGGACAGGGTCCAACCCCTGGTACCACATACGGTTCCTCAAGTCCTCCCAGGATTTAGCCCTAAGCAAAAAGCCAGGAGTAAGCCTTGAGCATAACCAGATATGGCCCCCAAATAAACAAACAATAAAAACTACAATTAAAAATGAAGTCAATGTGATTCTGTTTTCAGGACAAAAGGAGAACCACTGAATAGGTAAGTTATCTTTGAATGAGAAATCTGTGTATTAAACTTCTTTGTCTTCTCCTTTTCAATTCAAGTAAAACTAGGTCTCAAGTTGACATAAAAAGCGAAGGGGAATGTGAGAGCCGTGACCCAGAACAGGTGAGGATGACAGTCATAGAGGTGGAAGCAGGGTGAAAGAGGTGAAAGAAAAAGAAAACTTTTCCTCTGCCACCTTACATCTGGGGAAGGCAATCTTGGAGGAAATAATTTTTGCAGTTCCTGAACTGAGATACCTCTTCTTTAAGATTAAAAAAGAAATGTACTTACTGAAATTAAAACAATTTACTTTGGTATAACTTGTAACTCTGGCTTTTTTCTGTAAAAAAATAATAAAGAAAATTATCAAAAGAAAATTTTCTGTAGGGAGTATACTGAAGTGGCACGGAAACTCCAGCACTGTCACTATTGTCAAGTGACAATAACCACCGGGTGTCATTGTTTCCATAGCTAAAAATGAGACTTGAGAAACTAAAACAAACAATTGGTTTATATAATACAATTTTTGTGAACCTATAATGGTAGAAAAAAGAAATGAGAGTCTTATACCTAGCAACTTGACATCTTCTTCTTCTTCTTCTTCTTCTTCTTCTTCTTCTTCTTCTTCTTCTTCTTCTTCTTCTTTCTTCTTCTTCTTCTTCTTTCTTCTTCTTCTTCTTTCTTCTATCACCCTTAGCTATAGTTACCAAGTTCTCATGTTTGATGGTTGGAGGGATCGCTCAGGATGGGAGATGTGTGCTCAAAGTAGATAAGGCACCTGACATTTTCTAGTTGAATGATCTCCCTAAGTGAAGATTTAGTGCCCTTGCTATGTATGCTCTTAAAACACCTGGGGTTACTTCCACCAGCTCATAATATTTTACTTACTAATTTGTCGACCTATTTACTTATTTTTATTAACTTAATTTTATTGAAACATCATGGTTTACAATAGCACAAAATATTTCTGTTTTATACTTAAAATGGTACTATATTACATTCTCCTAGGGACAAATATTCCTCCATATTGTTCCAAGGTACTTACTCTTCACTCCTGCTTAGTGTTTTGATTTTCAGTTCTAAAATATGTTGTGCTTTAATATAAAATCACATCATGTTTTAAATGTCTCTTCATTTGCATTGCCCCAGTAGATTTCGGGCAAGCTAAGGGTGGGACTGTGTTCTACCTTCATTCTAACACGTAATTGGTTATCAGTGTTTGATGAATAAATAGGTTAATGAGTTCTAGACTTAACCACATGAATTATACAATAGCAAGCTGAGTGTTGGATACCTGGCCATTACTGCTCTTGGTGGCCTAGGGCAGAAACGTAGAGTTGGTACAATATGTGAAATCAGTGTTGTAAGCATTACAATCAGAACAGTAATACCAAATTCCTTTTCCTGACTTTCAGGATTTGTGTAGTGCTTTTCGACCATATGTAAAGGATGGAAGACTGGGGTGCACAAGGGAAAATGATCCAGTTCTTGGTCCTGATGGAAGGACCCACGGCAACAAGTGTGCAATGTGTGCTGAGTTATTGTAAGTATCATTATTCTAGCACCTAAACAAATGGGATTCGAAGGATGGACTTGGGTTTTATCCCGAGAAACCTGCAGAGCGATAACTTCCTCCTCAGAAAGCAAGCAATTGTTTGTCTTGATAATGTAAAATATTCCTTGTTCCCAGAGGAGCTACTTTTCTTTTTAACTCACAGAATCAAAGCTTCATAATATATATATGTATACATATATATATATATAAGTTGTTAAATTCAAGACACTAATTCTAATCACTTGAAAACAACAATATAAAACTTGCCATTGTACTTTCTTTCATATGTAAGAATCTAAGACAGTCATTTGACATGAAACTTTTTTGGCAATAAAAATTTAAGATTTAAGTCTTATTTAAATTAATTATAATGTTATGTGCCTTTAATTCCTGTTAGTATGGAAAGGAAAAATGTCTTAATTCTGTGGCATACCTGTCTTAATTCCGTGACATTCTTTTTCTTTTTATGTACCACTTGAAACATTTTTAACCTCCGTAATTCCTGATTTTTTCCTTTTTTGCACTGAAAACTAAGGCATTTCTCTTTTCTGGAAGATATTCAAATTGGCATGAAAGCACGTAAAAGTAGAATTTTATTAATGAAGGTGCTTTCACATGAAGACAAACATACTTTACAAAGTATGAAAAGTTACTCATAATATGGGTGTTGTTGGCAATACTTCTAATGCTGTTTGGTTTCACCCTGGTGTCTGCATTGTTTTAAAGCTCTTCGTTCTGCCAGTTAAAGGGAATTTTCCTGACAGTCTTCTGTTTGTCAATCAAGAAGTCACACCCTTTCAGTCTTACAGAACAAAGCTTCTAATTGACTGCCAGTGAGTCAGTTTCACACCCTTCCATATCCTGGCTCTTGCCTTCAACACAGGGAAATGTTTTGTCTCCCATAAGTGAATAGGTTTAACAGGTCCTTGCAGAGGAGATGAAAGTGCTTAACATAGAAATGAATCTGAAAATATGATTCGGCCATAAACTGACCAGCTGTTTTCTTCCCTAACAGCTTAAAAGAAGCTGAGGAAAATGCCAAGAAAGAAAATGAAACTAGAAATCGGAGAAGTGCTGAGAAGGTAAATTAATCACTAGCACTATTTCTTTTTTTTTTTCTTGGTTTTTGGGTCACACCCGGTGATAGAAAGGGGTTCCTCCTGGCTCTGCACTCAGGAATTAGCCCTCGCGGTGCTCAGGGGACCATATGGGATGCTGGGAACCGAACCTGGGTCCGCAGTGTACAAGGCAAACGCCCTACCCGCTGTGCTATCGCTCCAGCCCCTAGCACTATTTAATTCTTATGATCATAACTATATATATATATGATCATAACTACAAGCCAAAATTGAACTTCTGAGGTAACAGCATTGTCCTCTGTTATTACATTGAGTTTCTTTCCTTATTTTCAAAATCTCCCAAGTTTACTTATTCTGGTATATTAATCACTGAATTCAAATTTCAAACTACATTTTCCACTTGAAGCTAAAAGTTGTGTTACCTTAATGCTTAAAAAAGATGAGGGAAGAAATAAAATAGAAAATTTATACAAATTACATTCTACTTAATTTCCATCAGGCTTGGCATAAATTTAGTTTTGCTTTGAGTAAATTATTTTTGAAATTCAACATAATATAAATTAGACAGTAGTAACTTTAAAACTACCCAAGTTTTTAAAACAGTGTACTGAATGGCTTATGCTATGCTTAATCCTATTAATACAAATTTAAGTTAATATTTTTTCATTATACTAATTATTTGCAACGCATTTAAATATATATTGCTTCTCTTTAAGTGAAAATGTCAAACAGGGTCTGGTGTAAAAACTATAGTGGATTCACTGCTTGCCATGCATGTGATCAACCCAGGTTAAATCCCTGGCACCCTGAGATCTGTCAGGGGTGATCTATGAGCACAGAGCTAGGAGTATACCCTAAGCATTGCTGGATGTGCCCCCCCCATCAAAAAAAGAGAAAATAATGTAAAATAAATATATTGGGTTGTGGTTTGAAAATATCCTTTAAATTAATTTTTAAAGCTTTTTTAATGATTTCATTTCTAATCCAGTATACAAAATAATCCTTTTGTTAAAGAATCATTGCAGCAAGGATTTCCTAAATTACCAAGGGTTGGAGGGATAGCACAGCGGGTAGGGCATTTGCCTTGCAAGCGGACACCATGGCCCACCCGAGTTCGAGTCCTCCACCCATCTCAGAGAGCCCAGCAAGCTACCAAGAGTATCTTGCCTGCATGGCAAAGCCTGGCAAGCTACCGTGATGTATTCGATATGCCAAATACAGTAACAGTTGTCACAATGGAGACATTACTGGGCCCCCTTCGAGCAAATTGATGAACAACAGGAGGACAGTGACAGTGACAGTGACCAAGGGAATTAAATCTTAGTTTCAATGAAAGTAATATTAGTTATTGTGCTAAATGACTAACCTTTTGCTGAGAAGTCAGAACACGAGTTTTAGCGTTAGTTCTGTCATGTTTTGGTTGTGGAAAACAAGAGTCAGTCATTCTGCGCCTCGATTTTCTTAAGAGCAAAATTAGGAGATTTATTGATATTTATCCTACGGGTAAAATTGCTTTTCTTCCTACATATGCACTGTGCATAAAGTATATATCCAGTCTGTAGATTAGGTGAGACACATATTTTTTCAACAAAAGGCGTCAGAGCTGAAATTCTACTTCATAGTCAAAATTCCATGAAGAAACATTTCACCCTAAATAAGATGTCTAGAGTTTAAATTAAAAACATAAATCATTGTTATAATTTGTTCAACACGGATGATTTTAAAACAAATAGATTTTGTAGTGGTTGATAAATTTCAGTTTAAAATGTGTTATCTGTGGATATCGTATTAATCTAATCATATAAAAGTTTGATTCTATCCTTCACTGTGCAGTTGACCCTTTTACTCAAATTATAGATATTTACTTATAATGAAACATACCTGGAACTTCTATGATACTATAATCTTACATTATTTCAATGAAAAAAATATTTTAAAAATAAAAATGAAGTTTAAAAAACAAAATAAGACAGAACAAAACTTTGGGTAATCATCATGTGACCTTCAGCATTTCTCTGTTCCCTAAACTCAGTCTTCTTTCCCATTGTATTTCGTCAGCATATATTCCCCTTTTCTCCTGTAGGTGGGTTAATTGTTTTGGTGGGATTATTGGCATGATCATGCTGCATAGTACTGGCCTTATAGTGATTGCTCAATATCTGCCCCATAATTAGCCTGTCAATGGGTTGCCTACAAGACTATTTCTTCAGAATATCCTTGGGTGAATCACAACTAATAAACTGAAATTATCATTGTTTCCTTTATGGGAATCATTGACTCCTAATTTTATTACAATGCTATGATTATCAGGTGACTGACTTTTGTATTTGTATTCCTAGATTGTTACAACCAGGAAGTTTGGAGCACACCCATTGCTCTTCCTGAACAAATACCTGTTTATTTAGCTTTCTCCTTTAAAACACCCTATGGAATATGAGAATTTGAAATATCAGAGAATGTTAAATCTAAATGGCTGACCCGAGTTCGATTCCTCCGCCCCTCTCGGAGAGCCCGGCAAGCTACCGAGAGTATTTGATATGCCAGACACAGTAACAACAAAGTCTCCAATGGAGACGTTACTGGGCCCGCTCGAGCAAATCGACTAAAAAAAATTATGTAGCTGCTGAGAGTGAGGTTTCAAAAGTGATTGGAATTAGCTTTGGTCTCCCAGAGAGTAAGAGAGATAATCTAGTTACCCAGTTGTTCTGACACAAACTGCACTCTTTATGCTCAGGTTTGCCTGACTAAAGGGTAAGATAAGGGTTACTGAATTATAAAAAAAAAAGAAGAAAGGATGTATAAGCATTTTATTGAGAATGGCATACTAGAATCATTAGAAATACTATACTGTAATTATACAAACTATCATAAGATGTGTTGGTTGATTAGAAATTCCCAAGTTTACAATATATACTAATATTTATTTATAAATATCAGTATTTATAATGTCAATAACATAATAAAACATGATACATAATATAGCACATAAATATAAAATATTAAATTCACTTATTTAAATTTCTACCATATCAAATAGTAGAATTTTCAAAACCCAGAGTCAAACTTAAAGGTTTAGAATATAATCCCAAACATTAGAAAACCTGGATACAAATCTCTCTTGGATTTTGAAGAGGATGGGAATTCACAGTTTTAGACTCCCAAAAGAAGTACCAACCTTAATTTTTTTTTTCTTGTTTTACTTTGTTTGGACCACATCCAGTATCACTTAGAGCTTACTCCTGGCTCTGTGTTCAGACATCACTCTTGATGGTACAGACTGGGCACTGATATGCAGGGATCAGGGGCACTGATAGATAATCCTGGGGATCAAAACAGTTTCTGTTGTATGTTTCCTTGTGCACCTAATGTAAGACAAGCACTTTAATCTCATACTAGCTCCCTACCCAGAATTATCAATCTTGATGACCTATATCTTTAAGGTGGAAAGTAAGAAAACTTAGAGTCTGTGATTTCCACCAATAAATTTAATAAGGATTATAACTAAAGAAAACAAAATACATAAAAATTATCCACACACACAAAAAAACAAGCTGAGCCTGAGAGATAGTATAGCAGGTACGGTGCTTGCCTTGCACAGGGTCAACCCCAGTTTGATCCCCAGCATCCTCATGATGTTTCCCCCACCCTTGCCCTGATCCTCAAGTCATAATACTTGTGAGTCTAGTGTTCCTTGAAGCAGAGCAGGAGTAAGCCCTGAGCACTGCCAGATGTGGCATAAACCCCACCTTCCCCCTCAAAAAAAATTGAAACTAAAGTAAGCATAATTCTATTTCTAATAGTTCATTTCATTCTTGACTTGATCCAAGTCAAGATCAAGAGAGTTTCAAATATTAAGTCTCACAGATTTTCTATGTTGCTCATTGGTAACATAGGAATGGGATCTTGGTTGCTATATTTTGTTGAGTTTTTGATGGAACTCCATGATAGTTTTCCTATTTTTAATAATCTTCATAGATTTGAAAGCAATAAAAATTTACTTTTTAGGAAATATTTTCTCAGCCTTAAAAATTCCTTCCTAGATTCTTTATTTATTAATATATAAATGCCCTAACTAGCAGATAAGAGTATAGAATAGTTTGACATTGTTATAGCTATTATTAATTCACATTATTGAGCATTTTACCCAAACCATTTAGATATGGTGTTCTTTGACTATAAATCCTTGATGCATATATTAAATTAAAGGAAAATAACTGCTTCTCTGTTTAAAGGCTCTTTGCAAAGACTATGAAAGCCAGGTGAGGAATGGAAGACTTTATTGTACGCGGGAGAGTGACCCAGTCCGCGGTCCTGATGGCAGAATGCATGGCAACAGATGTGCCCTGTGTGCTGAAGTCTTGTGAGTACAGATGTGGTTTGCTCACAGTGACTCTAAGGGAAGAGGGATGGGATGATGTGATAAGTGAGAAGTATTGGAGTGGTAGATTTATTGACAATTCTATTTGATTCTAATTTAATAAGGGGTCATAAGTTGATTTATACGAGGCCTGTAGAACCATTTGCTATTTTTCTACCTGCCCCTATATGATTTTTCTAACATGAAGATTTGAAGTATCTATATTCATCTGTTTCTTTCCCTTATTTTCTATAGCAAAAGGCGTTTTTTGCGAGAAAAAAATGAAGCAAATGAAAACCCCAGGGAGCCTGAAGAAAAAGCTAAAGTTAGAAGAGAAATTAAGGTGAGGATTAGTTTGATAAGTCTGATGATTTGTGGTATAATGTTTGTACATTTTATTCTAGAATGTGTTACCAATATTGTTTCACTCACTTTTCCCCAATGGTGGATTTTTTGGAAACAAATAGTTTGCAATAATTTTATAAGACTTAAAAAATAGTGATGGCACTACACCATTGATCTCTGTATAGAGTAAATTTATCGTCGTATTAGCAAAATTGTTCTACTCTTTTAAATCAAGGTGAAATATCAAAAATACTACCCTAATTTAAAAGTTGATATCTTTCCTTCAAAGAAATAACTGTTCCCTTTAGGTCAATTTTTATTTTAAAAATAATGTAAGTATAAAAGTTTAAGGGCTGGAGCGATAGCACAGCGGTAGGGCATTTGCCTTGCACACAGCCAGCCTGGCCGAACCGGGTTGATTCCCTTGCGCCTCTCGGAGAGCCTGGCAAGATACCGAGAGTATCTCGCCCACAAGGCAAAGCCTAGCAAGCTATCCATGATGTATTCAATATGCCAAACACAGTAGCAAGTCTCAAAATGGAGACATTACTGGGCCCGCTCGAGCAAATCAATGAACAATGGGAGGACAGTGATACAGTGATAAGTTTTATATTATTTTTAAAAATCATATGAATTTCACTTTTTAACCATCTTTGCATTAGTAATCTGTTTTTTGTCTATTGCCACTCTCTTAGTTTAGACATATAGTAATTTTTTTCCTTATTTTCTTGCATTGATGCATTAGCATCATTCTTCCTGGTTTGCATACTTCTAGTCAACATCATTCTTAAGCTTTAAGGTCCCATTTATCACCCACATTGTTTTCAGTAATGTAGGAAATATGTTCTTGAACCATTGCACTATGAAAATCCTGTGTTTGAAAGTATTGTATAGCATAGTTGAGTCAACTTCTGCCTTCATGTAGCTCCATCTTATTGAATTTATTTCAGCTGCCTCATTCCTTTTCATTCTAGTTTTACAGTATTTTTAATTTTAGTTTTCATGTGAATATCACCCATGATTTCATTTCCAATTCCTTTATTTCTCTCTTCTCATGCATGACTTTCTTCATTTTTTATTCCTTACTTATTTTAATTGAAATTTTCCATATATCTAAGTGGGCAATCTCTTTTTCAAGCAAAATTTTGATTGTGCGTTTCTCTGTAATAAATGTCCATTTTTCATTTTCTAACAACACAGTACAAATTGCTTTCAAAGTGTAACTGTTTGCTTTTGATTTACCTTTGAAGTATCCTTTTGACACCTCCCAAATCTTCTTTTTACCCAGCTAATTCTTAAGAAAATATACATAGAGTATCTCAAAATGGCATGCTCGTGTTTATATATCTTTGCATTCCATAATTTCTTTCATAAGACCTCTTACCAGATTCTTTTCAAGAGCAGATATTCAACATACAACTCAGATGGAAACTTTTCATTGCTCTTTCTTTTTTGGACCACACTCTGTGATGTTCAGGGGTAAATCCTATCTCTGTGCTTGGGAATTACTCCTGGTGATGCTTGGCAGACCACGTGGAGTTCTGGGGGCGAAATCTGGCTCAACGTGTGCAAGGCAAATGCCCTACCCACTGTACTATCTCTCCCGCCCTGACCTTTCCTTTGTGTGTATACAGACTTTATTCAGACCTGTTATATCCCTTAGTTTTGTTTAACACTGCAATTAGTTATCTTTTCTATTTGACTGATAAAATATCTAAATCACACAATAATTATATCCTCTTAAGTTAGTACATTTATTGAGCACTTAAATCAATCAATAGAAATAGGAATAAAATTATTGCAAAATTTTTAAATGGCCCAAATTCTAAGGGTTTGATTTTTATCTGCAATGACTCTTTCAATATCTTTGACAAAGAGAACATAAAATTCATAAATTTAGGTAAACTTACAAAGCAGGTAACTACAAATAAACTGTTGCATGTTTATTATTCAGAAACTCTGCAGTGAATATGAGAATCACGCAAAGAATGGAATGCTTTATTGTACCAGAGAAAATGACCCAGTTCGTGGCCCAGATGGGAAAATGCATGGCAACTTGTGTTCGATGTGTCAAGCCTTCTAGTGAGTATTGAATTGTACAACAACAAGGAAAAAGGAATCATATCATCTACTAGAGCCAGCTATTTTGTAGATAGAATAATTGCAACTCAGTAATTAAAGAAATAGAAAAGAAAACAAAACAGTGACATAGAAATAGAAAAGTGAGTGTGTAAGTAGTACAGGCAATGTGAATTACAGAAATAGTAATAAAGATTAAGAGTATTTTAGTCCAAAAGTGTTTGGTTTCCCCTGTTATTTATTTTTTTAGCAGTGCTACATTCTGACAAATATAAGCTTGTGCAAATATCAATATCTCCCTCACTGCTGAGGCTTTGTGTATATACATACATACATACAAATACACACACACACACACATATATATATGCACACACATATATGTGTATATGTATGGGGAGGAAGAGAGAGACCTTTTATATAAATTTTCTCTATTTGTCATAGCCACCTCACCTTCCACAGAGATTAGTGATTACATTTAAAACTGAATGCAAAAATTAATAAATTAAAGTTACCCATGAAGCAATTGTAAGCCTTTTTAAAATTACAAGCAAATATTATTTTATATAATGTTATCCTTCTCAATGATTTTAAACTGACAACTTTAAATTTGAGAATTTATTATTTTTCTGGCTGAACTCAGATTCAGTAATTACTTAAATTTAGAATCCATGGCTATTTGGTTGACAGCCCTATATGGTCAAAAGATCATCAATTATCTGGATACATGAGAGCTTCCACTATATACAGCAAATATAAACTGATTTGGGTATCAGTGTATATAAATTAATTTGTCTTTAGGTAACACAGTAAATGTTAGCAATATATTCACATTATATAAAGAAAATTATGGTGTATACGATGTGTTTAAATTCACATAATTTATGAGAAGAGAACTGGAATTGTTGTAACCAGAGCTTGAGCCTTCAAAAAATTCTCAGGACCTTTTCTCCTTTCTGGGGAACAATGGGTGCAATTAGTATGCTTTATTAGGACTACCAAGTTCCTCTAGGCATTATGTAAACATTAAGGCTTTATCTTTAGTGTATTTTTGTTTTATCTTTAGTGGCACTCATAAAGGTTTTATTTTGCTCATAGGCAAGAAAGAGATATTATTTTTAGAAATCAAGTTTATAGATATATGATTTCTATCTTTCAGTGCCTACTTGAAGAAAGGTTAAAGAGTCCTTCATGGATTAGCGTATCTTTAGTTGCAGATTAGAAATTCAGCAATGTGAAGACCTCAGTGTTGGTGGATGATTTAGTTTCCTCTCTCTTTCAGCCTAGCAGAAGCTGAAGAAAGAAAAATGACTGAAGCAAGATCGAGAAGTAAAAGAGAATCTGGAAAAGAATCTTCACTGCCTGTGAGTGGAATTCATTCAATACATTTACTTAGTACTGCTAGTACACATTAGGGACATAAAGACTGGACAACTCCCTGCAAAAATTCGCAGAAAAATCATAACTCTTCCTTCTTAGGTGGCATTGAGAACAAAGGCTCGGGAACTTGGTTAATTCAGAGACCAATTCTTAGTTGCAGTTTGAAAACCTTAAATCTAGTTCCAGCTTCATCACTTATAGATGGTGCGAGCTTCTGCTCACTGTTTTCCAGAGAAATCAAACATATGCTTTTCACATAGGAGTGTTTGGAACTTCTCACTTAAATTAGGATTAAAAATCTTTTATTTCACCAAAATGTCATAATAATGTTCACCACTAAAATGTTACAACCTTCATTCCTATAGCCCCATGTAGATCATTATAATGTGATGTTTACTTGATAAAGTCTCTATAAATTTACCTCTAGGTTTTATCCTTTAGCCAGTCAGCCTCATTTAAAAAGCTAGGATTAAGTTTCAAATACCAACCAAATCACTATACTGTTCTGCTTAAAACCCATAAACTATTCATGAACTACTGAACACATTTTGGTCCCTTCATCTACCTCATTATTTGGTATGTTAACCTTATATAAGAAATTCATATTCTGCTTTATGTCCACTTTCCTTTCTGTGTTTTCCAGCTTGTTTCATTTTAACAATCTAGTACACTCACTCCAGTATCTTTTTCTTACCCAGGAAAATGCTATTTACTTTTCAGAGTCTCACTCAAATTATTCTTGTTTCCTAACATCTTCTCTAACTTCCAAAATCTAGATTTCAGGATCCCAAACTCTGATTTGTTAGATTTTCTTGTACCTAAGTTTTATATTTATTTTACTATACTTTTATTATACAGGCGGTAACAAATTTATCTCTTTTATTATATTTTATTTATTTATTTATTTTTGCTTGTAGAAATAAATTTATTTATCCTCTCTAAGTAAAGGTTTACACTGGCCCATAAGGAATAAAAAATGTTATCAGTGTAAACCAAACAAGAGACACAGGTATTGAAATTACAAGACAAAAGCATTAGAAGCATTATTTTAATTGTATTAGCCCACATTCAAAAAGTGAAGACATAACATTAAAAATTTATACAATTACATAAAATTAAATAAAACTTTGAGATAATTTTAAGAATACACCATGAGGTGCTGGAGCAATAGCACAGCGGGTAGGGCATTTGCCTTGCACACGGCCGACCCAGGTTTGATTCCCAGCATCCCATATGGTCCCCTGAGCACCGCCAGAGGTGATTCCTGGCACATGAACCAGGAGTAACTCCTGTGCATCGCCGGGTGTGACCCAAAAAAACAAAAACAAACAAACAAAAAATACACCATGAAACAGTGACAGATAAGACATTGTAGAAGAAAAATTAGGGAACTTGAAGCTACTGTGAAATAAACTAGGCAAGATAAAACCAATGAATAAAAGGAATGAAAAATAGAGAAAGGAGAATTACTGAACTAAGACATAATTTCAGCTGTTCTAATTTGCTTTTAATTGAAGTCTCTAAAAACATTAGAGCAGAAATCATATTATTTAAAAATGGACAAAAATTTCCTGAATTTGATGGAAAAAAACCTGTAAACACAGTCAACTCACTAAAACCAAACACATAAACATGAAGAACATTGCAGCTATGTATGTCATAATTAAATTGCTTTTAGAAAGTGAAAAAGAAATAGATAGCAAATGCAGTAAATGGAGATTTATTATTATTATTATTATTTATTTATTATTAGTGAAACACCATGAGGTACAGTTGTAGACTTACAAACTTTCGTGCTTGAGTTTCAGTTATCCAATGATCGAGTCCCCATCCCTCCACCAGTGCCCATAAATCCTGTTATGTCTTGTTCATTTCCTTCTCTCAGAAAGTCGTTAGCTTTATCAAGTTGAATTTTATATCCCCAAGAAACAGCTAAAATTCAGTACTCAATAAAATGCAACATGATTTCTGGTGATATAGATATTTCAGGCTTTCTTTTGAGGGATGAAAATCAAGTGCCCAGTTTATTTATCTTGGCAGGAGCTCTGCAGTATTTACCATAAATATCTGAAGAATGGAAAGCTCAACTGCCACAGAAAGAGTGCTCCCAACCAGAGCTCAGAAGGAATAATGAATAGTGACACCTGCTTCAAGTGTGCAGTCTTCTTGTGAGTAGAACTGCTAGGAAAATGAGGGAGGGTTTTGTCCCTCTGTTTCATTGCTGTTGCTGTTTTTTTTTTTAAGTTTTATTGCATTTTATTTCCTGAGGATTTTTCCATCAGTATTTTTATGGTACATTCTTTATATAATGTAATAATTATTACAAATAATTGTAGCATAATTCTTATCAAAGAACAATTATAGTCATAATTATCAAAGAATAATTCTAGCATATTAATCACTGGTTGAATTTGTATGGTAGGATAAAAGTGATGTATGAAATTGTCTGAAATTACATCAATATGAATAGTATGGGTATCAATCAGTTCTTGTCTATGATATGAGAAAGGGTTTTAAGTTATCAATAGCTGGGCCACAGCAATAGTACTGTGGGTAGGGTACTTTTTTTTTTAATTAGGAAACACCATGAGGTACAGTTGGAGACGTACAAATTTTTGTGCTTGGGTTTCAGTTATACAATAATTGAGTACCCATCCCTCCACCAGTGCCCATTCTCCATCCCCAATGCTCCCAGTATCCTTTACAACCCCCTCCCCCCACCCCACCCCACCCCACCCCACCCCTGTGGCAGGGCATTCCCTTTTGTTCTCTCTCTCCTTTTGGGTGCTGTGGTTTGCAAAAGAGGCATTGAGTGGAAATCATGTTTGGTCTATAGTCTACTTTCAGCATGCACCTCCCATCCTTGCAGGATCCTCCCAACACCCTTTATTTGGTGCTCCCTTCTCTATCTGATCTGCCTTTTCCCCCAGCATGTGCGGCTGGCCTCCAAGCCATGGAGTGAACCTCCTGGTACTTATCTCGGCTATTCTTGGCTGTTAGTCTCCTATTTTGTTACTTTATATACCCAGATGAATGCAATCTTTCTATGTCTGTTTCTCTCTTTCTAACTCATTTCACTTGGCATGATACTTTCCATGTAGTACCTCTTGTATATAAATTTCATGACTTCATCTTTTTTTTTTTTTTTTGCTTTTTGGGTCACAACCAGCGATGCTAAGGAGTTACTCCTGGCTCATGTACTCAGGAATTGCTCCTGGCAGTGCTCAGGGGACCATATGGGGTGCTGGGAATCGAACCTGTGTCGGCTATGTTGGCTGCATGCAAGGCAAACGCCCTACCCGCTGTGCTATTGCTCCAGCCCTGACTTCATCTTTTTTCTAACAGCTGCATAGTACTCCATTGTGTGGATGTACCAAAGATTTTGTTTTTTTGTTTTTTTTTTTCACCAGTCATCTGTTTTCGGGCACTCAGTTTTTTCCAGATTTTGGCTATTGTGAATAGTGAAGCAATGAACATAGAAGGGCAGATGTCATTTCGACTGTACTTTTTTGCCTCTCCGGGATATATTCCCAGGAGTGGCATTGCTGGGTCAAATGGGAGCTGAATTTCTAATTTTTTGAGAATCGTCCATACTGTTTTCCAAAAGGGCTGAACCAGTAGGCATTCCCACCAGCAGTGAAGGAGGGTTCCTTTCTCGCCACATCCAAGACAACACCTGTTGCTTTTGTTCTTTTGGTTGTGGGCCAGTTTCTGTGGTGTGAGATGATATCTCATTGTTGTTTTAGTCTGCATCTCCCTGATGATTAGTGATGTAGAGTATTTTCTCATGTGTCTTTTAGCCATTCAGATTTCTTCTTTGGAAAAGTTTCTGTTCATTTCATCACCCCATTTTTTGATGGGGTGGGATGTTTTCTTCTTGTAGAGTTCAACCAGTGCTTTGTATATCCTTGATACCAACCCCTTATCAGATGGGTATTGGGTAAATATCCTTTCCCATTCTGTAAATTGTCTTTGTATTCTGGTCACTGTATCTTCTGTGGTGCAGAAGCTTCTTAATTTAAGATAGTCCCATTTGTTTATCTCTGTTTGTTTCCACTTGGTTGGTCAGTGGAGTGTCGTCTTTGATGGTACCATTAGCCTCAATATCGTGGAGGGTTTTGCCAACCTTTTCTTCAGTGTACCTTTATGGATTTTGGCCTGATGTTGAGATCTTTAATCCATTTTGATCTGACTTTTGCGCGTGGTGTTAGGTCGAGGTCTAAGCCCATTTTTTTTGGCATGTGGTTGTCCAGTTATGCCAGCACCATTTGTTGAAAAGGCTTTCCTTTTCCACTTCATATTTCTTGCTCCCTTATCAAAGATCAGATGTTCATACATTTGGGGTTGTGTGTATGAATATTCCACCCTGTTCTATTGGTTTGTGTGGTAGGGCACTTATTTTGCAAGTGGTTGACCTGGGCTCAATCCCTGGCACCACGTATGGTTCCCTGAACCCCAACAGGAGTGATCATAGAGTACTTCCAGGTCTGTCCCCAAAACAAATACAAATTATCAATGACTAGGGTCTGGTGGGGTTCACTTTTCTTAGGGTTTTTTGCCAACTCAAACAGCTCTAGTAAGGTCTGCTTTGTACTCTTCTTCTCCCAATTTCTTCCTGAGCCAAGACTTTCCCTCCAAGTGCTAATAAGCATTGATAATTGTATAAGTGTACATGAGGTTATTTAATATTTCTATTTTCTACTACATGATTTTATTACCTGAAAGGAATTACCTGCACAACCCACAGTTTAAGTTAATTTTTACATTTGTTGTGTTCAAGTATGCAATAGCACAGCGGTAGGGCGTTTGCCTTGCACGCAGCCAACATGGCCAACCCGAGTTCGATTCCTCCGCCCCTCTTGGAGAGCCCGGCAAGCTACCGAGAGTATGTCGCCCGCACGGCAGAGCCTCACAAGCTCCCCGTGACGTATTCGATATGCCAGACACAGTAACAACAAAGTCTCCAATGGAGACGTTACTGGGCCCGCTCAAGCAAATCGATGATCAACGGGAGGGCCTTTACTTACTTTTACTTTAAGTATAGGTAAAAGGTAAAGGTAAAGGTAAAGGCCCTCCCGTTGATCGTCCATTTGCTCGAGCGGGCCCAGTAACGTCTCCATTGGAGACTTTGTTTTTACTGTGTTTGGCATATCGAATACTCTCGGTAGGTTGCCCGGCTCTCCGAGAGGGGCGGAGGAATCGAACTCGGGTCGGCCATGTTGGCCACTTGTAAGGCGAACGCCCTACCCACTGTGCTATCGCTCCAGCCCTATACTTTAAGTATAGGCTCACTTTTGTGTTCATTTTTTGTATTCACTTAGTAGGAAAAATGTATTTTAAGTAATAAATAAACATTTATAAAATTTATGTTTCCTAAATAAACATTTATAAAAATTATGCCCTTTCTGATTTACTAAGATTTGACATAGACAGCAGTAGAAGAGTCACAGCATTAAAATGTCTAAGTTTGGGATCTGAGAAATAGTCCAGAGGGTGAGGTGCTTGTTTTTCCTTACTGGTGACTGATCTGGGTTCAATTCCAAGTGTCCCATGTAGTTTGCCACTGTCACATCAGGAATGATCCCTGAATGTAAAGTCAGGTGTAAGTCCTGAATACAGACAGGTGTAGTCCCCAAACCAAAGCAAATAAATAAATAAACAAATATAATATCTAATTAGTAAAACTGGCTAATAATCAGAGATACAATTATGAATATTGGGAGATTATCTTTGGACCGGTAATAATAGGACAAAACTGCTTCAAAAATGCTGGCTTGTTTGTGTAGAAATTGAATGCCTGTTTAGAGAAACCTAAAGGATATCTCTCCTTGAACAAGGGTTTGTGGAAACAGTGAAAATACATTTAATGGAAGTCAAGATAAAATAGGCAAAGAGATTTTCTAACTCATTCTTTAAAGAAATCATAAAAATAACTTCTTTATTTCAAGTTATTAATGAAAAGAATTAATGGTTATTGTAAAGAAGGATGCAGATATCAGCATTGGAAATATAGAAAAAAGTATAATTTCTCACTGTTTAGTGTAGAAATGACATTATAATTTGATCATCTAGAAAAAATATTATCAGCTTATATAGTAGCATATACCTGGATTTAGTCTTCAATCTCTTTCATCTTTTTTTACTTCAATATTTTTCACCTTTATTACTTTATTTTTCCACATTTTTCATCTTTATTACTCTTTCAGGGACAAAGCAACAGTTCTGCCATCTAGTGGTCAGTTCTGTTGCTTAAGCTAATAATTTTTTACCATGGAAAGACAATGGTTTTTCAATGCAGCATTGCAGCACTGTCCTCCCATTGTTCATCTATTTGCTCGAGCGGGCCCAGTAACGTCTCCATTGTGAGACTTGTTGTTACTGTGTTTTGGCATATTGAATACGTCATGGGTAACTTGCCAGGCTTTGCCATGCGGGCGAGATACTCTCGATAACTTGAATCAAACCCGACTCAGCCGGCCGGCTGCATGCAAGGTAAACGCCCTACCGCTGTGCTATAAATATTTTAAATATTTTTGTTAAGTTAGACTCAAGCCATGAATTATGAGAAACTCCACAATTATGGAGCAATTTGTTTCTTTCATTAAAAATGTATTATTTTTCAAAAATAAAATTCATCTCTTATTTTACCTCTTAATTTATGGGTTTGTCAGCAAAAACAACTCACTCTGGAGAATTATTTCTCCATCTATAGTCAATTGTGCACAATTTTATAACATAATTAAACTATATTTTCACAATTTAAAAGGTCTTAAAGTGTGATTAAGGAATACATTCACAAATTCAGTTTTTCTGTTTGCTGTGATTGTCTTGTAGATGCAATTATTCTCTAATTATCCAGCCCACTAAATTTGATTTCAAATATTTGTGTATCTAAAGTTAAACTAAGGTCAATGTTTCCATATCATTTCCATCACATGACTAATATTTTTGGTGCCAGGGTTGGAATACAGAACCTCACATGTGCATGTGATGTGTTCTACCGCATGTGATGTGTTCTTCCTCTGAGCCACACCTCTGGCCTTCTTTGGAGGCCTATTTTCAATGCTGATGAGAGCAAACATTAAAAGCACTTCTATTAATGTTTTTATTGTGTACTAGATAGTTAATCTAATTGGTTTACGTATATCATCTTTTTTTTTAACATTTTCAATGCTCCTGTGAGAAAAAATATTCTTATAATCCCAACCTTTCCCCATTTAAAGATGAGAAATGCATGGAACAGTTAAGATATATATTATTTATGGGGCTGGAGCAATAATACAGTGGATAAGGTACTCCCCTTGCAATAGCCTGGCCCTTACTCAAGTCTTGTCACCCCGATAGTCCTCTAGCACTATCAGGAGTGATCCCTGAGTACAGAGGAAGGAGTAAGTCCAGAGCACTGCTGATATACACCTCTTCTGCCCCATGAAAAAAATACAAAAATAAAAAAGATGGGGTTGGATCAATAGCACAGCAGGTAGGGCGTTTGCCTTGCACACAGACAACCTGGGTTTGATTCCCAGCATCCCATATGGTACCCTGGGTACCACCAGGAGTAATTCCTGAGTGCAGAGCCAGGAGTAACTCCTGTGCATCACTGGGTGTGAACCCCCTAAAAAGCAAAAACAAAAATGAAAAAGATATTTCTTACATTTTTCAGGTAAACTGAACTAAGAATATTTTCTCTCAACTACCATATTTATTGCCTCCCAGAGCCAAATATTACCATTTTGTAGAGTGACTTAAGATGTGAAAGAAATAACAAATAAATTCCCATTGCACTCAAATTACTGACAACTTAAATAGGTGGGCTCATTAATTAAGAACTTTCTTTTGAATACACTATTCATGAAGTGAGATGAACCATAGTAATTTTTTCATTTCATTCATTCATTTCATCATCCTGTTAATCGTCGATTGCCTCGAGCAGGCCCCAGTAACGTCTCTTTCATCCTAGCCCTGAGATTATATTCACGGCTCTTTAGGAGAATGAGACCCATCATTGTTACTGGTATTTGGCATATTTGGTAGGCCACGGGGAGTTTGCCAGACTCTGCCCTGTGGGCAGGCTACATTCTATAGCCTGCAACTTTGTCCAAAGTAGGAATGAGATAATAAGATGTCGCGCGGCCGCAAATGCGGCCGCGCGGTTCCGAGATCTAGATTTTATAGTCTCTGAGTCTTGGCCGCTGATGGGATTACACGGCGCCAGGGGGCCAGGTGGTGGGTGTGACCCCCGCCTACTGGAATTTGGAGGATCTGGGTGGAAGATGCTCGACTCCAATTCGAGTAGGCTTGGAGGTCTCGGCCCCGGAACCCGCGTGGCTTTGTCCCTCTGCCAGTACCTTCATGTGTGCGGAGAGTGGTCTCAGCATGGTGGTGGCTGGTCCTGGAGGTCTTCGGCTGCCGTAGCCCTGGTCGGGGCGGGGAGGAAAGCTCAACCCGCTCCCCTCCAAGGGACTCCGGAAAGGAACACCCAGGCGCGGGGGCAGAGACTGCACTGTTCTCGTCCGGGATCTGGATTTTATAGTCTCTGAGTCTTGGCCGCTGATGGGATTACACGGCGCCAGGGGGCCAGGTGGTGGGTGTGACCCCCGCCTACTGGAATTTGGAGGATCTGGGTGGAAGATGCTCGACTCCAATTCGAGTAGGCTTGGAGGTCTCGGCCCCGGAACCCGCGTGGCTTTGTCCCTCTGCCAGTACCTTCATGTGTGCGGAGAGTGGTCTCAGCATGGTGGTGGCTGGTCCTGGAGGTCTTCGGCTGCCGTAGCCCTGGTCGGGGCGGGGAGGAAAGCTCAACCCGCTCCCCTCCAAGGGACTCCAGAAAGGAACACCCAGGCGCGGGGGCAGAGACTGCACTGTTCTCGTCCGGGATCTGGATTTTATAGTCTCTGAGTCTTGGCCGCTGATGGGATTACACGGCGCCAGGGGGCCAGGTGGTGGGTGTGACCCCCGCCTACTGGAATTTGGAGGATCTGGGTGGAAGATGCTCGACTCCAATTCGAGTAGGCTTGGAGGTCTCGGCCCCGGAACCCGCGTGGCTTTGTCCCTCTGCCAGTACCTTCATGTGTGCGGAGAGTGGTCTCAGCATGGTGGTGGCTGGTCCTGGAGGTCTTCGGCTGCCGTAGCCCTGGTCGGGGCAGGGAGGAAAGCTCAACCCAGTAATTTTTTAAGATAAATTTATTTATCGAATCACTGTGAGAACAGTTACAAAGCTCTCTGGTTTAAGTCTTGGTTATACAATGATGAAACACCCGCCCCTTCACCAGTGCACATTTTCCACCATCAAAAACCCTAGTATACCCCCCATCCCCCACCCCTCCCCACTGTGTGGCAGATGACTTCCACATTACTCTCTCTCTACTATGGTTACATTCAATATTTCAACACCAGAACCGCCATTATTATTTGGAATTTCCCCCCAACACTCAGACCTGCTGAAAAGGCAACATTAGGCAAGTTGTTTTCTATTGCTGATTATGAATAGCATATGATGTCACGAGGCAACAATTGCGGCTGTGCAATTTTGGAATTCTGAAAGTTTAATAATTCAATCTGGAGGGATTTCTGCCAAAAGCCACTGGGTTCTGAGATTCGTTTGTGTCTCTGGGATCATGGTGGTTAAGCAGTTTAATCAGTAGCCAGTGGGAAGAGGGTGGACAAGGGCCGGCTCCACCCTCATCTCGTGAGGCCTCACATGTCTTGGCACTGCTGCCCAAACCTGACTGTTCAATGGCCTCTGGAAGATGGCGGCCACTGAGCCATCAGGGAGAATAGGCAGATGGATGACACCTTTTCCCACCTGGAGTGCCCAGCACAGGAAACCTAATGTGAAGTCTGCACGCATTTCTGCCAAAAGTCACTGGGTTCTGAGATTCGTTTGCGTGTCTCGGTGATCAAGAACCATAGTAATTTTTATTATCCAAGTAAACTACAAAGTACAACCAGCAAATGTTTCTGGTTACTCAAGAATAGTCAGAATAATAAATGATCAGTCTGTGAATGTTAAAGATATCTACTGAATTAAGATCTGTTTCTTTTCTCACATTTCTACTTCTTTTCCTTCTAGTCGACAAGATAAAAGAACAAGATCAAAGGCTAAAAGAGAAGCAGCAGAGGTAACTTATGCCGTAGTGCTGATGCCATGCCTGATATTTCCCTCTATAAGAGAATTCTAGAGATACCATTAGCATAAATGTTTTCCTGTTAGACTTCCAGGCTAGAAATAGACAAAGGAAACTTTTAACCTGAAAAGCAATGTTAGTGATTAGGATTTGACAATTCAAATTCTTATGTCTATTTTACAAAAAATAAGCTAACTTACTCTATATAGGCTATGCTCCCTATTTTACTTTTCTTGGATTTCTGCTGGTAGACATCAATTGTCAAAATCAATTTTTGCAATTGACTAATTTTCATTGATACAACTTCTAGCTATTATTTCAGATAGGATACAAAATCTCTTTCACATTAGTTCAATTCAGAAAATAAACTCTGCATATGTTATCATATTTTATCTCCATCACCAACCACCTACATAGGAAGGATGTACTAATAGTATCTTTCTTGATTAATAATTACGATGAAAAACTTTGGCTTTTTAATTATACTATGATTTTTTATAGATTATTAATATATTTGTAATTTTATAGATAATTGTTATATTTCTATGACTGTATATTATAATTTTATAAGTACATAATAAAATGTCTCTATGTAGATGCTAGATTACTCTCAAATAATAACTACATATAAGATTCACTTTCATTTATTCTATTTTCCTAACAATAATTGAAAAATAAAAGCTTGCTAATTTGGGATAAATTTGATAGAGGTTAAAAGTATTAAGGTAGTAATATAAATATTAAAGAAGATGTTTTTGTTTTAAAATGGCTCACTTTTTCAAAAAAAGCTTTCTTTTGCTTTTATAAAGCTATACGTTTTTCATATTTAAAACCAAAGTTGTTATATTCTTTATTTTACCCAATACCTAATTTTTTACATTTATTAAGATGTTATTGACATATACTATTATGTAAATTCAAAGAATGCAGCATTTATATTTGATACACTTATATTCCAAAATAATTACCACCATCGTGTTCGCAAACGCCTCCACTAAATTATATAATTACTGTTTCTTTTGTGAAGTATGATTATTTAAGTTTTACTCAGTAATTTTCAAATATAAAACTATAATTTATTAGATCTCTAGAATTTATTCATCTATAAACAGAAGTTTTTATTCTTTCTCAAATTAATTCCATTTTTTTTCTTTTGCACCCCTATTCCTGGTAGCTGTCATTCTATTCTGTTACTCTGCGTTGGGTTTTTTTTAAAAGATTGTACATGTAAGTGAGATCATTCAGCATCTCCCTTTCATATCTTTTTTTTTTAAATGAGAATAAGGCTCCACGATGCATTCAAGTAGAAATGGGAGGATCTCTGTCTTTCTCCTGATAATTTAGCAATATTCTTATTTCCTCCAGGAAGCCTCTCCTTTCTAAAATATTAAACCTCCTCACTTTTTACCTTCCATAGCTATTATAGACTGTTCTCTTTAACACAGTACAAACATATACACAGCTACAAATTTTGTCAGTCTTCTTCTGTATTTAGATTATAAAAACTCCTAGACCAATGATGATGATGAATATATAACGGAGCTACCACTGTACCAGAATTAGCAATTCTTCCTTGCGTACTGATTTCTAATTTATTGCTATACGTAATCACTTTTCTTCTTCTTCTTCTTCTTCTTCTTCTTCTTCTTCTTCTTCTTCTTCTTCTTCTTCTTCTTCTTCTTTCTTCTTCTTCTTCTTCTTCTTCTTCTTCTTCTTCCTCCTTCTCCTCTTCCCCTCCTCCTCTTCCTCCTCCTACTCCCCCTCCTCCTCTTGCCCCTCCTCTTTCTCCTTTTCTCCTCCTCCTCCCCCTCCCCTTCTCTTCCTCATCCCCCTCCTCCTCCTCCTCTTCCTTCTTCTTCTCTATTACTTATAAATTATTTATTATTCATGAAAAGGCAAAGGTGAAGATCACATAGAAAAATGCTCTAAGAAAATATTTTCTTCATTTTCCAGGAACTTTGCAGTGAATTTCGCAGCCAAGTGAGGAATGGAATGCTTATATGCACCAGGGAGAATGACCCTGTCCGTGGCCCAGATGGCAAAATGCATGGAAATAAGTGTGCCATGTGTGCAAGTGTGTTGTGAGTATCTTCCTCACCTCTTACAAAATCTTTTTATTATTGACCACTCAGTCTCACTTCTTCAGAAATAGAGTATATATCACGGGTTACATGCTAGATATTTTTATATGCACATGAACAAGACATTAAGTGACATTAAATCGTACAGTGACTTTATTCTCTACTCCAATACTCTTTTCTTGTAACTCATGAGCAAAATATTTGTTCTCAGAAACCATATGTGTTTTTAATACTAGGTAATCATCTTTCATGAGAGACATTAAAAACGGGCTCTAGATGGGATTATTTCTTAGTTCTCTTTTCTGCCTCTGACATTTTCAAATTCTGTTACTATATCCAGATATTGGCTGAGGGAAAACCAACTTGACTAATATCTGTGGGGCAGCACACAAGCATTTTATGGGGAAAAAAGGGATGATATTTATTCTTCTAGGAATACTCTGTTTGCAGGTGAAATAAATACCCTAGTGGCTTAGTGTAGCTAGTTAAGCCCTGGGGAGGTAGGCTGTTATAATTCCATTATAATTCATATATATTTTCAACAAATAATATGAGCAACTTCATCCATCATGGCATCACCTCTTTCTTCATTGAGTAGTTATTTAGATAAAATTTTCTCAGTTATAAAAATCAAGGTTACTGCACTATTTATTCAAGTAATTAATTAGAGTCACTGCCCTGTATTTAAAGTCACAGACTGATTTTGGTGAGGGGCATGCTACTTTTATTATTTATTTAAATCACACCTTTGACCCTATTCTCTATCATGTTAAGCACTGTTCTCCCGTTGTTCATCAATTCTGCTCAAGTGGGCCCAGTAACATCTCCATTGTGAGACTTGTTGTTACTGTGTTTGGCATATCGAATATGTCACGGGTAGATTGCCAGACTTTGCTGTATAGGTGCGATACTCTCTGTAGCTTGCTGTGGCCCACGCAGCCGACCTGAGTTCGATTCCTTCACCCCTCTCGGAGAGCCCGGCAAGGTGCCGAGAGTATCATGTTAAGGGGGATTGTAAAATGTTAAATTTATTTGCATCATGGGGAAAACAAAAACACCTTTTGGAAATAATAACTTTGTACTCAAGATTTAATCTGACCTTTGGCCTAGAATATTCAAATTCCTCTTTCCTATTATTTGTAGAATAATGAACACTTGCTTTGCACAGGACTCGGCAGACCAGGGTTTAATCTTTAGCATCCCAAACCTGGCCAGGGGAAACAGGAATGAGTGCAAAGACAAGAGTAAGACCTTAGCATTGCTGGATGTGACCAAAAAACAAAAAAGGGGGCTGTTTGGGTGCTTCCCTTATATGTAGCTGACCTGTGTTAGATCTCTAGCATTCATCCCATATGGTCCCTGAGAGCCAGGAGTAATCCCTGAATATTTCCAGGTGTGCATCCCCCAAAGAAAAGGTGAAGAGGTGGCTGGGGAGATAATGCAGAGGTTAAAGTACATGCTTACTGTGGGCAATCTCAATTTGTACCCTGGTACAACATGGTCCCCTGAGCATCACCAGTGATAGCCCAGGATGCCAGTAAGCATTACTCAGATGGCAAAGGTTGATCCCTGCCACTGCAGGAAGTGAGCAGCCCTATGTTCTCACATTGGAACTCCAGACCAGTTGTCAAGAATTCCAAAAAGTTGGGGTTGGAGCGATAGAACAACAGGTAGGGCGTTTGCCTTGCACACAGCCAACCCAGGTTCGATTCCCAGCATCCCAAATGGTTGCTCGAGCACTGCCAGGAGTAATTCCTGAGTGCATGAGCCAGGAGTAACCCCTGTGCATCCCTGGGTGTGACCCAAAAAAAGCAAATAAAAAAAAAAGGAATTCCAAAAGGTCCTTTGATGACTGCTTGGAAAGCATTCCTAATACATTTTTAAAGATTGTGAGTGGCCCAGGTTATAGCTTAAAAGACTGGAATGCTTGCTGTGAGTTTTCAAGGTAGCAAGAACTATCATAGCTCTACACATGCCCCCACCATAGCATTGCCAGGTGTAACCTGAGTGGTACCTCTAGCACTACTAGGCCTGAGAAGTATCATCTGGCAGACCTGAGCATTGAAACATCGTGCCTAGTTGGCCAGTATTGCTAGGTGTGGTTCCCCCAACCTCTAAGCACTGCTTGAGAGACCCCACTTCAAATAAAGAAATAAGAAATCATATTTTGTATGTGTCTTTTTTATTGCAGCAAACTTGAAGAAGAAAAGAAAAATAATGGCAAGGAAGAAAAGGAGAAAGTTGAGACTGATAAAGTTAAGAGAGAAGCAGTAGAGGTAGGTGTGTGAGACTGTTAGTGCCCTAAAAATCCTTTTTCTCTCAATGAGTCTTTCACATCATCATTTCTTCACCCCAACCCCAATTCCAATACCCTGAGCAAGTATAAACTGAATTAATTGAGCAAATATGTCTGAATCCTCAAGTAAATTTAGGTTCCTTCTTTATTGTTCAAATTATTCATACCAAATCTGTTCCAGTTATTTGTGCCTTTTGGGGAAATCTTTCTCCCAATTCTCCCTTTCTCCCTTTCTGATCTGTGAATTAGATTATTCCAAGACTGTATACAGATTGTTATATTGTCTAAATAAAAATCATTCAAAATATATTTTAAAACTTCATCCATATACTTTTGTATAAGGTATTTAAAGAACTCAATAGCATCAACAACCACTAGATTATTGGGGGGTAGGGGGTCTCCCAAGCAGTGCTTAGGGGATCCAGTGGCCACTCCTTGAAATAATTTGCCTTCATGTTCAAGGCCTAACGTTTTAATGTTCAGGCCAGAGACACTCCACTGCAGTGTTAGGGGCAACCAGGACCACTCAGCAGTGCTTGAGGACCCTGTGGTTCTTGGGATGGAACCCAGGGCCTTGACATGTTAAGACATGAGCTCAAATTCTTACTTTCAACCCTGCCATAAATGCTGGACTATTATCTGAATTTTATCTGGATATTTTGATCGTCGATTTGCTCGAGTGGGCCCAGTAACGTCTCCATTGGAGACTTTGTTGTTACTGTGTCTGGCATATCGAATACTCTCGGTAGCTTGCCGGGCTCTCCGAGAGGGGCAGAGGAATCGAACTCGGGTCGGCCATGTTGACTGCTTCTAAGGCGAACGCCCTACCACTGTATTATATTATAGAAATACTATAAATATTTTATAGTAGTTCTATAATATAATATTCATTTTTATAATATTAAAATATTACTATATGTAATTTATGTATATAATTTATATGTATTATTTTATGACATCTCAAGGAACTAATTTTGTGTTTTGGATCATACTCAGTGATGCTCTGGGCATACTCCTGACTCTGTGCTCAAGAGATTACTCCTAGCAGGGCTCAAGGAACCATAGTGGGTATCTGGGATGGTACCCAGGTCAGGCATGTGTGAAGCAAGCACTTTCCCATGTATTATGTCTTCACTTCTCCAGCCACCTTTTAATGACTCATCAAATGTCTAAAGATTTCTCCACTTACATATTAGACATAGTAACTTTACTATCTAAAAATCAATTTTTCTTCTGATATATTTCTCAGTTATTCCATTGGTTATTCTATAATTGCTTCATTGTATTTTCTTTAAATAAATGAAAAACTATGAGATTTTGATCATTTCACTAATAAATTACCACACTTTGGTGGCTTAAAATTACACAAATAGGGGCCAGAGCGATAATACAGAGGGTAGAGTGTTTGCCCTGCCTGTGGCCGATTCAGGTTTGATCCCCAGCATACCATATGGTCCCCAAGCACCACCAAGAGTGATTCCTGAGTGGGGGGCCAGGGGTAACCCCCTAAGCATTGCTCGCTGTGGCCAAAAAAGCAAAAAAAATTGCACAAATAATGTTATCATTCTTCCAGTTTGAAGTATGACACAAATCTCAATAAGTTAAAATGAAAGGATTTATGAGGGTAAAGTTATGAAATGTCTGGAAGAAAAGGCTGCCTCTGGAATCTTTCTAGTTTTCAGAAGTCAATCACGTTTTGTGACTCTTGAGTCACTTCCTTCTTTATGATCACAATAAGCCCAGGTAATCTTCCATCTCAAGATTCTAAACAGAATCACGCCTGCAGTGTCCTTTTTTGTCATATAAAGTAATATATTCACAAGTCTTTACCAGTACTTAGATAAAATTGGGTTTGAGATTCTTAATCTGTTTAGCACAAATTCCTTTAGAAAAAGTACAGCAGATCAATTTCCTTTATATCTCTCATAGCATCTATCCCAGAATAATATTTGAATTGAACAGAAAGTTCCCTCATGGTAAGCAACAGTGCAATTATATTACAAATAATGTATGACCTGCACCTCTGAAACTTTCTTTTATAACATATAATATAATATACATATTGTTATATATATAAATAGGATATATAACATCATTACCTTTTGATGCAACCTGATATTTGAAGACATCAAACAACTTTTAAAGTGATAATGTGGAAGAATTGTTTTCCATGTTCAGTAATCTGAATCTTAATTCCTCCCTCATTTGGCAGGAGCTGTGCAATGAATACCGCAATTATGTCAGGAACGGTCGACTTGCCTGCACCAGAGAGAATGACCCCATTGAAGGTCCAGATGGGAAAATCCATGGCAATACTTGCTCCATGTGTGAGGCCTTCTTGTGAGTAGAGCCACAACCCCCTGGTGTTGCTGAGTGTAGAAAAGGAAGGCCAGGGGTGGGTAAGAAAGGTAATATTGAAGGCTTTATTTAGGAAGCTAATGTTAAAAAATTTGTCTTTGCATTGAGTTTGGGACATAAAGCCATGTACTTAGCCCATTTTTTTTTGGTAACATGTTCAATGTTCTGAAAGTTTCTTGAATTACCGTCAAGGAAAAATCGTGTCATAGTTTCGGTTTTGGTTTTGGTTTCTCTAGAGTTAGTAACACATAGACTGGGACTTACTTCTGTTCTTTACACATGTGTTGTCATGAATAATCCAGACATATCATCATTGGGTGATAAAAATGGGTTAACATCCTATACCTATGCATTTAGGTATCATAGTTTTTTCTGGACAAAGGGACAATATCTATTTCCAAAAGAAATATATTATAGTACATTATTTACTGGTGTTCTTTGTCACATGTGTCTTATTCTTTAAGCAATATTAAAATAAAGAACATTGTGGAAAAGAGTGCATTTGTCTTTCTAATTCCAAATTAAATTGTGATAGGTGTAATATATGGGATTTCTACAGATATATATCTTTTAGAATAATGAGTATGTTGGCCATTATGATTTAAAAATAATGGATGCTAAAATATAATTCCTTTCCTGTGCCCTTCTCTTTTCCAGCCAGCAAGAAGCAAAGGAAAAAGAAGCTGAATCCAGAGCAAAAACTAAGAGAGAAACTGAAAAGGTAATTGTTTTGAAAGATCTATACTACAATGAAAGGATATTATTTTAAAGTTTTCTCTATAAATATGATTCATGAAATTACTGCAGACTTATATGAGAGAACATGAAACTCAGCTTACTGGTTGACAATTTTTTTCTTAAAGGACTAGATAGTAGATAGATTAAGTAGTGGTAACAGGACTGGATCTGCTAATGTAGCTTTAAAGCAACTATGTAGCACCGTGGCACTGTCCTCCTGTTGTTGGGCCCAGTACCGTCTTCATTTTGAGACTTGTTGTTACTGTATTTGGCATATTGAATATGTCATGGGTAGCTTGCCAGGCTTTGCCATGGGCGAGATACTCTGGGTAGTTTGCCGGGCTACTATTAGGATTTATTAAAATGAATGGACATATCTGTGCCCCACTAAAACTTTATTTATGAAGTGGTATTGGATCATATTTTTTCACAGGCCATAGTTTGAAAACCCCTGTGATTTGCTCATTATTATATTTCAAACTCATATTTAAACTGCAGAGATAAGAAAGAATTTTCCTACTAAGTTGTAGTCTTTATATTATACCATAAAGAGTCCATATCTTTATGGACTTCTTACAATTAAATTTCTTACAATTAAAACAATAGAATTAAAACACTAAATCTAGCACTCTATCTAATACAATGTATAGTATTAGATGATTCTTTTGGTAAATTGTGTTTGTTCCTTGTTTTTCCTTTAATTATTTCTGGTACAAAATTTGGAGAGAAAATTGAAAAGCAACTGATGTATATAATATTTCTTAGTTAAAGATATGCACATTTCCCCAGGTTTTTAGTATGTTACTTGCTCCCCTAAAAGTCTATTGGTATCAAAAGTCTAAAAAGTATGAACTTGGAATCTGTGATAAATTTGTTTACATTTGTGTTTTCCATAACCACAGATATGAATTTTAAAACACATGTGAATTAATAGTTAATATAATTGATAATAATAAATTGATAGTTAATATAATTCACTATCAATATCTAAAAATATGCTTTCATATAAAATAATTTTCAATTTCATATTAATTACTATTACACTATCATCATGCATCATAATTGTTTTGTTAAATATTGCCAGTTATGAAATCCACAATAAATCTTGAAGCTGAGCTAGGAGGAAAACTAATTCAAAGTATGTGAATCATTGACATGAAATTTCAACAAAAAGACTCAGAAAAAACATGAATTCAGTCATAATTGCCACTGCTAATTAACTCCATTATCTTAGGTCATTTGCTATTATTTACTATTTTCAACATGTTAGTTATTATAAATATATATACACACATTATCTTATGTTATTCTCATATAACATATCTCTTGGCCATTATCATTTAAAAATTATAGAATGTAGATCATATTCTTCTTATAGATAAGGCAATTGAGACACAAAGAATCAAGATTGCTTATTCAGGGTCTCTTGATAGAAAATTAGAATTCTAATTAACAATATGATTAAGTTGCCAACATGTTAGTGCTTATCTAGCAAGCCATATGTGAAACAATTTGTTAATTTATTTGGGAAAGAGGAATATTCCAGAATATGAAATTCTTTGAAACAGAAGGACTAAATCTGAAGGGGGAAAAATACTAGAATCTGCCTTTAAACTTGCTTACATAGTAGGAAACGAACAAATCAATCTCATCTAAAGTCATTTTCTCTCTTTTCCAAGAAGTGTACCATCAGAATCCAATGAAGTAGTTTTCAATAAAATATCTAAACTTTCACTTTGTCTTCCTTTAGGATACATGCAGTGAGTTTCGGGGCCTTTTGCAAAATGGAAATCTTTACTGCACACGAGAAAATGATCCTGTGCGTGGCCCTGATGGCAAGACCCACGGCAACAAATGTGCCATGTGCAAAGCAGTCTTGTGAGTACACAAAAGAAGCCCCTTTAGTGGGTTCAAGAAGGCGTTTGCCTTGCACGCAGCCAACATGGCCGACCCGAGTTCAATTCCTCAGCCCCTCTCAGAGAGCCCGGCAAGCTACCGAGCGTATCTCGCCCACACGGCAGAGCCTGGCAAGCTCCCCGTGACGTATTCGATATGCCAGACACAGTAAGAACAAAGTCTCCAAGGGAGACGTTACTGGGCCCGCTCGAGCAAATATTTAACTATCAAGAGAATTTAAAGGGACCCCTTGAATATGAGATACTAAATAGAAATAAAAATATTTTCTTTTAAAGTATAATTTTATTTTAAGTTCTATAGTATTACAAACTGTTAGTAGTAGAGTTTCATACATGAAATATTTCAGCACCACACCCTCCACCTTTGTCTCAGTGTCCCTCCCAACAAATACTTTACAGCAAGCATTTGTGAAACTCACTGGGATTCCTGTGATGACAGAAATGTTGATTTTATCCTACATGAAAGACCACTTTCAGGTAAAGGATTCAATGTAATTCTTTTTTTAATTTTAATCACAGTGGTAGGACATTTGCTTTGCATGCAGCCGGCCTGGCCGAGCTGGGTTTGATTCCTCCGCCCCTTTTGGAGAGCCCAGCAGGCTACCGAGAATATCTCACTCGCATCGCAAAGCCTGGCAAGCTACCCATGGCGTATTTGATGTGCCAAACACCGTAACAACAAGTCTCACAATGAAGACTATCGAACAAATCGATGAACAATGGGAGGACACCGTACTACAATGTTTTGAGAGAGGGCTAAAGTATTGCAGAGGTTCAATATCTGCTAGTACATTTTATACAAATTTAATTTGATTATGATATGAAAAACTCAGAAAAACACTCAACTCTTTGTAATCCTTTCTTCCCTATCTTCCCCTTTGTGATTTCCAGCCAGAAAGAAGATGAAGACAGAAAGAGAAAAGAAGAGGAAGATCAGCGAACTGCTGCCGGCCATGGTTCCAATGGCGGTGGAGGGAAGGTGCAGGTAAAAGCAACCTCGAATTTCTAGAGTCAGCTATAGTGGCGGATGTAGGGCTCGGTCTGTGGTAAAGGCAAGTGCACTGAGCTCAGAATGCTTTTAGCAGAACCTGGGAGCCTCCTTTCAAGGGGGCTTTGAACTCAATGACCAATTTTTAGTTTCTAAGGAGACTAGAAAATTTGGGCTGGAGCGATAGCATAGTGTGTAGGGCATTTGCCTTGCAGGCAGCCTACCCGGGTTCAATTCCCAGCATCCCATATGGTCCCCTGAGCACAGCCAGGAGTATTCCTGAGTGCAGAGCCAGGAGTAACCCCTGTGCTGGGTGTGACCCAAAAAGAAAAAAAACCCAAATCTGAAAATTATTAGTATGATTATCTGGTATAAATTGAGATGCGCACCGGTTGTATTATGCACTCTTCATTTTCTTTGGTTCTTCTCTCCCTCAACTCCCAACGGAGATTTTTTTTGGGGGGGGGTGGTTATTTTCTTTATTCTTTTTGTTTGTTTGTTATGGGGTCCCATGTGGTGGCGTGCAGGACTCACTCCTGCTTCTGCACTCAGGCATCTCTCCTGTCAGGGCTTCAAGGACCATATGGGGTTCTGGGAAGTGAATCTGGGTGAGCCGCCAACAAGGCGAGTGTCTTATCCCACACTACTATCTCTCCAGTCCCTTGAGGTTTATTTTCTATTGCTCCAAAGCAGCATGATATGAGGAAAGAGCACAGGTATTAGGAGTCAGTTTGGGTACCATCCTGCTTTGGCATTTGGGACTTGTAAACATGGATTAAATTATTTAAACTCACTGAAATCTAATTTTTCTTATCAGGTAGACAGAGGGATAAAGGTAAGGTAAAAGGTAAAGGCCCTCCCGTTGATCGTCGATTTGCTCGAGCGGGCCCAGTAACGTCTCCATTAGAGACTTTGTTGTTACTGTGTTTGGCATATCGAATACTCTCGGTAGCTTGCCAGGCTCTGCTGTGCGGGCAAGATACTCTCGGTAGCTTGCCGGGCTCTCCGAGAGGGGCGGAGGAATTGAACTCGGGTCGGCCATGTTGGCTGCGTGCAAGGCAGACGCCCTACCCGCTGTGCTATCGCTCCATCCCAGACAGAGGGATAAAATAAATTAATTTAAACATGTTTTTAACACATTTTCCGAGACCATTTTTTCCCCCTGAAGTGAGGGGTCCATGGAGCCATTCCCAGTAATACTCAGACAGACGCAGTGCTGCTGAGGGCTGCCAGGGATACATCTGCTCATGTTCTGGGGACTGAACTGTAGCCGTGGACCATGCCAGGCATATTTTCTAGGTGTTTCAGGTATCTCCCTGCCCATCCTAAGATATGTTTAAATGTTGGTGAAGAGAGTCCTTGGGCATGTGAACGAAACTTCAAACAATTACAGCTGCTTTATTTCTCATTTTTTTTTTTTTTATAATTTATTTATTTATTGAATCACTGTGGGAAAAGTTACAGAGCTTTCGGGTTTAGGTCTCAGTCATGTAGATACCGAACACATTTCCCTTTACCAATACTCATTTTTAACCCCGAACCCCAATAGACCCCCACCTCCCACCCCTCCCAATTCTTATGAGGCAGATGAGTTCTAGTTAATACTCTATCTACTTTGACTAGATAGATTATTTCGATAGAAGATGCACAATTATTGTTTAGAGTTTACGACCCACCCCCCCCCCCAATCAGACATGCTGAAACAGCGTTGTGAAATGATTTGCTTTCTACAACTTGGTTTAAGAATAAAATGATGTCGCGCGGCCGCAATAGCGGCCGCGCGGTTTTGAATTTCTGCTATTTTACTTATTGACCCTGGAAGAATTTCTATTAAAAGTTAGCTAGTTAAGAGATTGATTTCTGTGCCCTGGAGTCGTGGCCGTGCCGGAGAGCCGCTCGTGGGGGGCAGCTGGCGACCTCGGTGGGGCGTGGGGGACGGCCCACAAAGCCCCCCTTCCCATGAGGTCCCCGCCGCTTCCCCGAGCCCGGCTCAAACCCGCTTTCCACAAGGCTCCCGTGCGGCCGCCATCTTTCTTTCCAGAGAGGAGCGGGCGGGCCGGTCAACGCCCTTCCCCCTCCGGGCAGGCTTGGTGGCGCGGATCAACACAAGTCCATTTGCTTTTCTGCTCCAAGCGGCTGGTTCTCTGTGCTAAGTCCTTGTGCCTCCGGGGCCGTGGCCGTGCCGGAGAGCCGCTCGTGGGGGGCAGCTGGCGACCTCGGTGGGGCGTGGGGGACGGCCCACAAAGCCCCCCTTCCCATGAGGTCCCCGCCGCTTCCCCGAGCCCGGCTCAAACCCGCTTTCCACAAGGCTCCCGTGCGGCCGCCATCTTTCTTTCCAGAGAGGAGCGGGCGGGCCGGTCAACGCCCTTCCCCCTCCGGGCAGGCTTGGTGGCGCGGATCAACACAAGTCCATTTGCTTTTCTGCTCCAAGCGGCTGGTTCTCTGTGCTAAGTCCTTGTGCCTCCGGGGCCGTGGCCGTGCCGGAGAGCCGCTCGTGGGGGGCAGCTGGCGACCTCGGTGGGGCGTGGGGGACGGCCCACAAAGCCCCCCTTCCCATGAGGTCCCCGCCGCTTCCCCGAGCCCGGCTCAAACCCGCTTTCCACAAGGCTCCCGTGCGGCCGCCATCTTTCTTTCCAGAGAGGAGCGGGCGGGCCGGTCAACGCCCTTCCCCCTCCGGGCAGGCTTGGTGGCGCGGATCAACACAAGTCCATTTGCTTTTCTGCTCCAAGCGGCTGGTTCTCTGTGCTAAGTCCTTGTGCCTCCGGGGCCGTGGCCGTGCCGGAGAGCCGCTCGTGGGGGGCAGCTGGCGACCTCGGTGGGGCGTGGGGGACGGCCCACAAAGCCCCCCTTCCCATGAGGTCCCCGCCGCTTCCCCGAGCCCGGCTCAAACCCGCTTTCCACAAGGCTCCCGTGCGGCCGCCATCTTTCTTTCCAGAGAGGAGCGGGCGGGCCGGTCAACGCCCTTCCCCCTCCGGGCAGGCTTGGTGGCGCGGATCAACACAAGTCCATTTGCTTTTCTGCTCCAAGCGGCTGGTTCTCTGTGCTAAGTCCTTGTGCCTCCGGGGCCGTGGCCGTGCCGGAGAGCCGCTCGTGGGGGGCAGCTGGCGACCTCGGTGGGGCGTGGGGGACGGCCCACAAAGCCCCCCTTCCCATGAGGTCCCCGCCGCTTCCCCGAGCCCGGCTCAAACCCGCTTTCCACAAGGCTCCCGTGCGGCCGCCATCTTTCTTTCCAGAGAGGAGCGGGCGGGCCGGTCAACGCCCTTCCCCCTCCGGGCAGGCTTGGTGGCGCGGATCAACACAAGTCCATTTGCTTTTCTGCTCCAAGCGGCTGGTTCTCTGTGCTAAGTCCTTGTGCCTCCGGGGCCGTGGCCGTGCCGGAGAGCCGCTCGTGGGGGGCAGCTGGCGACCTCGGTGGGGCGTGGGGGACGGCCCACAAAGCCCCCCTTCCCATGAGGTCCCCGCCGCTTCCCCGAGCCCGGCTCAAACCCGCTTTCCACAAGGCTCCCGTGCGGCCGCCATCTTTCTTTCCAGAGAGGAGCGGGCGGGCCGGTCAACGCCCTTCCCCCTCCGGGCAGGCTTGGTGGCGCGGATCAACACAAGTCCATTTGCTTTTCTGCTCCAAGCGGCTGGTTCTCTGTGCTAAGTCCTTGTGCCTCCGGGGCCGTGGCCGTGCCGGAGAGCCGCTCGTGGGGGGCAGCTGGCGACCTCGGTGGGGCGTGGGGGACGGCCCACAAAGCCCCCCTTCCCATGAGGTCCCCGCCGCTTCCCCGAGCCCGGCTCAAACCCGCTTTCCACAAGGCTCCCGTGCGGCCGCCATCTTTCTTTCCAGAGAGGAGCGGGCGGGCCGGTCAACGCCCTTCCCCCTCCGGGCAGGCTTGGTGGCGCGGATCAACACAAGTCCATTTGCTTTTCTGCTCCAAGCGGCTGGTTCTCTGTGCTAAGTCCTTGTGCCTCCGGGGCCGTGGCCGTGCCGGAGAGCCGCTCGTGGGGGGCAGCTGGCGACCTCGGTGGGGCGTGGGGGACGGCCCACAAAGCCCCCCTTCCCATGAGGTCCCCGCCGCTTCCCCGAGCCCGGCTCAAACCCGCTTTCCACAAGGCTCCCGTGCGGCCGCCATCTTTCTTTCCAGAGAGGAGCGGGCGGGCCGGTCAACGCCCTTCCCCCTCCGGGCAGGCTTGGTGGCGCGGATCAACACAAGTCCATTTGCTTTTCTGCTCCAAGCGGCTGGTTCTCTGTGCTAAGTCCTTGTGCCTCCGGGGCCGTGGCCGTGCCGGAGAGCCGCTCGTGGGGGGCAGCTGGCGACCTCGGTGGGGCGTGGGGGACGGCCCACAAAGCCCCCCTTCCCATGAGGTCCCCGCCGCTTCCCCGAGCCCGGCTCAAACCCGCTTTCCACAAGGCTCCCGTGCGGCCGCCATCTTTCTTTCCAGAGAGGAGCGGGCGGGCCGGTCAACGCCCTTCCCCCTCCGGGCAGGCTTGGTGGCGCGGATCAACACAAGTCCATTTGCTTTTCTGCTCCAAGCGGCTGGTTCTCTGTGCTAAGTCCTTGTGCCTCCGGGGCCGTGGCCGTGCCGGAGAGCCGCTCGTGGGGGGCAGCTGGCGACCTCGGTGGGGCGTGGGGGACGGCCCACAAAGCCCCCCTTCCCATGAGGTCCCCGCCGCTTCCCCGAGCCCGGCTCAAACCCGCTTTCCACAAGGCTCCCGTGCGGCCGCCATCTTTCTTTCCAGAGAGGAGCGGGCGGGCCGGTCAACGCCCTTCCCCCTCCGGGCAGGCTTGGTGGCGCGGATCAACACAAGTCCATTTGCTTTTCTGCTCCAAGCGGCTGGTTCTCTGTGCTAAGTCCTTGTGCCTCCGGGGCCGTGGCCGTGCCGGAGAGCCGCTCGTGGGGGGCAGCTGGCGACCTCGGTGGGGCGTGGGGGACGGCCCACAAAGCCCCCCTTCCCATGAGGTCCCCGCCGCTTCCCCGAGCCCGGCTCAAACCCGCTTTCCACAAGGCTCCCG